CCCTTGAGGATGGGTTCCAGCATGAATCTGAAAGCTCGGAAGACTAAACACCTGGTCCTGGTAACCACCCGAGATTAGATCCTGCATTATTCTGGGTGCATATATTTGCCTTCATTTGTAAGAATCTGATTGTCAAAGCACACGTGTGTAGTTTATGATATGTTCTGCTCTAGGCCTCAGCAGCCATCCTCCCTCTGTAACATGGCCTCAACCTTCCAAAATCCCAGCTTCTTTGAAAGGAGGAAGCTTTCGAATGGCATTTCCAACACACAGAACTTGAACATGAACACAAACACTCTTGTGAGAAGCCAATGTTTTTATGGTACTTGATGCCTGTCCTCAAGAACAATCCCCCAGTTATTGTTCACCATGGGATGTTTAGCTGGAGTTTTAACCTTTGATTCTGTGAATGTTTGCATTAACCAAGTGTTTGTTCAAGCTCCGTTGACTTCTGTGCCCTTTCCTTCAAAATAAAAATCAGACACTTTGATGTTGGAGACTGCTGAAGATGGCCAGCGAGCAGGAGGCCAAAGGCCACATCCAGCAACTTCTAAAACGAAACACAGAGACGGTGATATGCACTTTTCTGCAATGTCTTCCCAGCTTTGCTAATACAAAAGGAAGTCCCGGAAACCAGAGGTGGTATTCAGCAGGTTCTGACCAGTTCTGGAGAACCGGTAGAAATTTTGAGGAGTTTGGAGAACCAGCAAATACCATCTCTGGCTGGCCCCTCCCCCATCTATTCTCTGCCTGCCGAGTCCCAGCTGATCGGCTGGGTCTCCTTTGGTTACCCTGCACAGGAGAACAGAGCTGGAAAGCAGGTTAGTGGGGTGCGGACGGAATGGGAATTTTGCAATAACCTTCCCCCAGGAGTGGGGAGGGAATTCGCCTGCCAAGCCCACCAAGTCACGCCCACAGAACCGGTAGTTTAAAAAAAATTGAATCCCACCATTGCTGGAAATGTTATTGAATGTGGTGTGCCTCAGAAACATCCTCCTCTTTTGTCCCCATGGTGCCCATCCCTAAAAACAGAGGAAGGAATCTAAGGGGGACTAAAAATGGACTAAAGCCTATTTTCCAGAATCGCTTGATTTTGATTGAGATTTGTCCTCTCCCTACTATTAGTCTAACTTTGGAGCCCACTTTGTCTGCGGCTGTCCTTACATCTCTGTCTCTGGGGTCAGCTTGTGCCATTGTTTCCGTTTAGGAGAAGATACCACCCTTGTTCCTCTAGCACAATGGTCTTTCTTAGCATCAGAAATTATTTTCTGTTTTTTTTTTAGAACCTTGGGCAAACTGAGGTCTAAATTTGTCAATATGAATTTAAGATCTCTGGCAAAGAATCGAGAGGTTTCCCAAAAGGCTCCTGTGTGGGAAGGAGTTCTTAGTGATTCAGAAAAGTCTTGGCCTGTGCTCTACCACTGGGCCAAAGGGAGCATTTGGGAAAAGACAGAAGTTCCTTCTCTGTGAAGGAGCCCTAGTCCTGAAGACATTCCTGCTCTACCTTACTCCGCTTAGTTCCCCCATCCCAGGGCAAACGATTTTTCAACCATAATGCTCCGTGAGGTTTTGACCCACCTCAGAAGGATGGGAGGCTGAGTCAACCTTGAGCCTGATGAGATTCCAACTGCCAAATTGCAGGCAGGCAGCAGAAGTTGCTAGCAGTACTGCGCTCTAACCACTGCTGCAGCGCAGCTCTGCTATCCAGCACTAGGTGTCTGGCTCCCTCTGAACAACTTTAAACATCAGCTCACAGATGTCCAGCTTCCTCACCATACCTTCCCCCACAATTGAGAAGACTGAGGCAATGAGGCAAATCCAAGAAAACATGCCTAATTCATAGCGGGTTAAAAGAAGTGTGCGATCCCGCACGATTCAAAATGATCAGCCAATAATTAAAACTAAGAGGGAAAGGAGATGGAGGTTCTCTGGACTACATCTCCTTGTTTCCCTTTCCTAAGAAAGAAGCCAAATGGGTATTTTTATCCTTGGAATACCCCCCTGAGAAGCTGGCTACGAAAAGAGGGCAAGTCCCCCAGAGTTCAGCAGCCCTTCTGAAGACCTACTTGCAGGAAGATACCTTCACTCTAATAACTGCCCACTGACAGTGAAAGTTCAGCCTGGATGGATGAAGTCACAGCTATTAGAATTCCCAAGGAGATGACAGGCCTCTTGAAATCCTACCAAAGGTCACCCTGCTCTTATCTTTTCTATATACACCAAATCCAGCCAAAACTCTTCAGGAACCTACTAGCCAATTATTAAAGCTGCCTATTTCTCTATTTCTTCTGACACAGAAGGCATGGCTCTTTGGATGTAGACTGCCTCTTTATATAGAAGCTCCACTAAGCGAGCTGACTGGAAAAAGAACCATTGATGCAGCACTTGATCCACTTCCAGTCTGATGCCCTTTGTGGTGCAGTGATGGGTTGCTGTTGTTTTTATGCCGCGATTCCTTCTTCCAAGAAACCTTTTTCTGCACCCCAAAGTATTGTTAGATGGTGTCAAGTTTAAGAAGGAAGCAGAAGGAGGGAGAGAGGGAGGGAGCCATTGAAGCCATTTGGGGGGGGGGGTTAATCTATGCCCTCAGGGTCAACTGAATCAGTGTGCAAATAGTTGTGGGATCTTCTTGAGACTGCTGAAAGGGCTGTGTTGTAGACAGGAGATAGGTGGTGTTGTGTTCTTCCCCCTTTCTTGAGGGAAGGGTGTTCAATTCTAACATAGATGGACTTTTTTAAACACCCACCCACCCTTTCAAACCAATGGTCCTCTCCAGTGGTGGTATTCTACCGATTCGGCCTGGTTTGGCCAAACTGGTGACTCCGAGGATCACCTCTAAGCGAACCAGTTTGCTCCGATGATCAGCTGCTGGTCCCTCCCACCTGCCCTGGCTCTATACTGATCTTTATTTCCTGCTTTTCCACCTCAACTGCTTCATGCGGCACAATGGATTGCCGCGCATCAGCTGTTTTACCACAGGACTCGCAGCAGAAGGTGAGTTGCAGATGCTGTGCGTGTGTGAAATGCGTGTTTGATGCGCATGTGCAAAGCGCGCGCTTACACCGAACCGGTAGGAAAAAGTTTTGAAACCCACCACTGGTCCTCTCTATCCAAAATGTGGACTTTGCTGTCTTCAAAGGAATGACCTTTGTCTCTGAAATGCAGATGGACTGCTGAATTGTGCCCTGATGGGTTTATATTCTCCTATGTTCTGCCATGCATTTGTGAAGTGGTTGCCACAAACCACTAAATGGCAGTATATACACAATCACAATAACTGCTTCCACAGGTAGCAACTTATACTGAAAGTGTGGGGTTCTGAAGCTGCTGCTAACTTACATCATTAAATCCTTGGGCTATCATGGCAATGACAATCAGCTTTTGTGGGGTTTGGGGGAAGACAGACAAATTATTCTTGGGGGTTTCAAAAGATACTCTGCAACTCTGTTTAGAACTATGTGTACAAGAACATCAATTGATTTATTAGAGAATCACTGGAAAAGTACAGCTTGTCCACAACATTCACAGAGCTTATAATTATTGATATTTAAAAATATTCTACATCTGCTCTAAGATAGTAATATTTGAACATCAACATCTCCTTTGGTTGCTCAGAAACCAATGAAGATTGCTGAGCTTATTGCCAAAGATGAGGCCTCATAGTACAGATACAACTTTTTTCCCTCTTACATCTTTCTATGTAAGAGTTGCAGTGGCGCAGTGGTTAGAATGCAGCGTAGCAGGCTATTTCTGCTGAGTGCCAGCTGTCTGCAATACGGCAGTTCGAATCTCACCAGGTTCAAGGTTGACTCAACCTTCCATCTTTCCGAGGTCGGGTAAAATGGGGACCCAGATTGTTGGGGTCGAAAGGGTGACTCTGTAAACCGCTTAGAGAGGGCTGTAAAAGCACTGTGTATATAAGTCTATGTGCTATTGCTATCGTGTTTTATTAAATAAACAAAAGGAGGGAAATGGCAGTGATATGTATAGTTCTGAGAATGCAAACTTAGATAAGGATGAGCAAAGAGAGATATTTCCTTTAGCTCTATGTCCTGCTGGAACACTGGCTTGGAGTCACCCCTTTCAGACCCAAAGTTGCTCAAATTTCATTTTAAATTCCCGCAGCAAGTCATTTCACTTCGCTTAGATCTCAACTGATTTTTAAAGCAAGGCAGTGGATGGTAAAGCTGCAAGATTCAATTGGCTCTTCCAGGCTGTGGTAAGGAGTCCACAGGGAAGGCATCAAGAAAGTGATTGCATCCAAGCAATCAGAGTTCTGTCCTTTTGATGCGCTGACACGTGTGGATGGGGCTTTGATCACCTAACTGTGACTATCTTGCTTTTCCAATGCCCCTGCTAAACTCCCCTCCCCCAATGGTGGGATTCCAAAAATTTTACTACAGTTCTGTGGGCGTGGCATGGCTTTGTGGGTGTGGCAGGAGGATACTGCAAAATCCCCATTCCCTCCCCACCCCACTAACCTGCTTTCCAGCTCTGTTCTCCTGTGCAGGGCAACCAAAGAAGACCCAGGTGGTATTCAGGAGGTTCTGACCAGTTCTGGAGAACCGTTAGCGGAAATTTTGAGTAGTTCGGAGAACCAGCAAATACCCCCTCTGACTGGCCCCACCCCCATCTATTCTCTGCCTCCCATTGAGTCCCAGCTGATCAGCTGGGTCTTCTTTGGTTACCCTGCACAGGAGAACAGAGCTGGAAAGCAGGTTAGTGGAGTGGGGAGGGAATGGGATTTTGCAGTAACCTTCCCCCAGGAGTGGGGAGGGTATAGGGATTTTACAGTATCTTTCCCCTGCCATGCCCACCAAACCACGCCCACCAAGCCATGCCACGCCCACCAAGCCACACCCATAAAACCAGTAGTAAAAAAAAATTGAATCCCACCACTGCTCTGCGGACTTAATATCAGCTTGATTACAGGCAAAGGCAGACTCCGTTTCCCCTTTTTTATTTCCCAAATCTGTATTAACATGATCTACTAAGACAACAGTGGAACTATAATGATGGTGGAACTTTAATTGTACTCATTTAAAAAAAAACTATCTCTAGTTTTTCTTATCAAGATTATCCCTCCAGATGCGGTAATTGAGCAGAGAGGCAAACATTAACCAAGCTATGTATGGATACATCAAACATGCTGCAGTTTTGTTCACATGATTCCAAGCCACCGTTGTAGCTGTTGCTGTTCCTGTAATGAGTAATAGAACAAACAGCCCCTGAAACAGAAAAATAAAGATGTATTTACTCTTGATCTTGGTATTTTATATAAATGGAAACTATCTGAATATGGTAAGTACCTGACTAATGGCATTCCACTAGGGTTGTTCCCATCATCAGACTTCACCTTATGAGGGGATCCTTGGTGGTCTCTGAGCTTGGTTGTTTTCTTGTGGATGTTTCATTACCCAAACCAGGTAACGTTATCAGGACTGGCAGTGATGATGTTATCTAGTTTGGGTAATGAAAAATCTGCAACCAAACTCAGCGCTGAGGACTCCTCGTTTCAACCCTGCACTACAAATATTTTCCTTTACTCATTCCCCTTATGATCGTAAATCCGAAAAGCAATACTGCAGTTAGCAACCTTCCAAGGTTGTCCCCTGGGTTAATTTATCAAAGTAGACCGTTACCATTTATTGCACACTTTTTGAGCAAATACCCTAGTTCAAGTGTTGTATTTTTTTTTCCCCCTAAGAAAAATAGTACAAGGCAATTTTTCAAAATCCTATCTGCTTATTTCATCTACTTGGTTTGGCTGTAACATTTTGGAAGTCTGAAGACTGTTTAGGAATTACTATGGTATACAAGATTAAGACAACGTATTTTAAAAGTTGGATTTTTCATGACCGTTCCTTAGTATACAGAACATACCATGTTTCCCTGAAAATAAGACCCTGTCTTATAGGGGTTTTTTTGTCCCCCAAAAGGCACCAGATCTTATTTTGGAAGGGGTGTCATTCACTGAATAAGCTCATTTGCGTGTATCACCCACGGCCTTCTTTTTGGTGTCAGAGGCCTTTCAGGAACTTCTTCTGTGGCTGGCAAGGCTTCCCTGAAGGTCTCTGCAGCCAATAACAGAGCTCCGGATCGATCCAGAGCTTTGTTATCATTTACAGAGGCCTTCAGGAAAGCCTTGCCAGCCTTGCTAGCTGCAGAAGAAATGGGCCGGCAAGGCATGTATTGGGGTGCATGAGGCCTGGCTACACCCTCCCCCATCCCCACCCTAGCTTAATTTTTACTCTGGAGTAGGCGGGACCTTAATTAGGGATTATTTGGGGTACACGTGTAAAAAAATCAAGCTAGGGCTTACTTTCAGGGTAGGTCCTATTTTGGGGAAAACGGTATTTGGCATTATTAGTAGCATTTGAAAAGAAAACGAGTGATGGCCCAGAAGGTTTAGTTATTTAAAAAAGGAAACCCAGTTTTCCCAAGCCCTGCAATAAATAGTAGTTATTGCGGCACATAAATTGTTACATGTTGCATTGTCCTGAAAACCCCACCACCACCACTCAAGGCTGTTGAGCCAAACGACATGTACAGTGTGCGTATATTTACATAACTTACCAATCCTAGTTTGTGTTGTCCAAAGAAGACAGAAGTCCACGACCAGTTCAAGGCCAGTTGCCCCACATACAGTCCCAGAGGAGCAAAGGACCTTTCATTGAAACCTCCCAAGTCCCTCCATACCAAGTAAGATCCATATCTACAGTATAAGGATGGAAGATACAGTCAGAAAAGAAACCAGATATGGGGATTTTTAAGGCCAATAACGAACTTGTAGTTTAACTCTGTGTATTTACAATAGTGAAATCATTTGGAATAAATGTCAAAGAGATATTTTCATTTTTTGTCTACAACTCATTAGAAAAATATTGGTATAATATTTTTTTCTCCACAATCATAATCTCCAAACTAAATTCTGTTCCTACATATACAGTAGTCTTGCAATTTGCCTAATAACCAAGTTAATCATGGACATGGTGTTTTCCTAAGGCTCTCTATGGAGTCTAAGCCCTGTGATTTCTTTGATTTTCCACTAATTAAGACCAACCATGATTATGTTTTCAACATCAGCCAAGATCAAAGGCACCCTCAAATAAAACTCAACTGATTCTTGCAGAAACCTGTCCAGGCAGCCATACGAAACTCATTTCCCACAACTTCCCAGCCTAGCTTAGTAGTTTTCCATCCAATATTAAATAAGACTAGCCCTTCTTTAGATTTTTGACATCAGTCTAAATCAGCTAGATGCTGTCAGCTGAGCCAGGATTTAACTTGGGTAGGGTGAGAAGTGCATTATCTAAAATTTCAGCTAAATATAGAAACTGAAAAAATAGAGTATTTGTTCTGACCCAAATCTTGTTCCAAGTAAACAAACACCAAACAGATAAAAGCAAAACCTTTTAATACTTCTCTGCGAATTACGTTAATTCATGGTTAAAAGGCTATTAAAACTAATTGTCTCTGATAAGAACGAGCCTTGCCAAGGTTGTGCAAGGTTGCCAAAAGCACAAGATTAAGTTGCCAAGAAATATTCCAAACAAAAAGTCTCCAAACACCAACCAAGATAATACAAACTTCCACAAGGCTTGAAGTGCAAGAACTTTTTTTGCTTCCTGCCAGTCTGTCAGGCTGGCTTTTATCTCTGAAGGGAGGGGCCATTACCTTGCAGACTTACTCCCAAGTCGCCCGTGCTGCTACAGCTGCTCTTTCCTTCAAGCAGCCCTGCCTGCATGCACAGTGGGCACAGGCTCCTCGGGAACCTCTTCGTCACTCCTGCCAGCCTCCACAATCTCCAAAAGCAGCATTCCACTCCCTGATGGTCCTGGCCCCATCCCTGCATCACACGCAAGCCCCTCATTTGAGTCCTCACTCTCTGAGACCTCAGCCGTCCACACCTGCTGCTGGTGAACCACAACAGCATTTTGAATGGCAATGTCCCCTAAAATGTGGCCCTGATGCATGTGTTTAATCATTTATTAGATGTTGACATGGAATTATTCTTCTACAAGTACACTAAAGGAAGATATCCTATCTAAAAAAGAATAAAATTAATTCTCTTTTAGATGATACTTTTTCAGCTTTTTATCTCTTCAGATGGTGCTGAATACATTATAAGACAGAAGATACATTAAAAGACAGAAGCAACCACTTTAAGACATGAAGAAAACTTTCCTTCATTCCAATTTCCAACCCCAAAATTTTCAGATAGGATTGATGAAAAAAACCCTTCTTGAAACTCCTAGCATTCAGGGGTTATTGGTTGATACTTGAATGGGAGATTACTATAGCAGGAAATCCCAGGACTTTAGACGAGACTGCCACAAAACATCTAAGCAAGCAGCTTGGGTATATCCATTAAATCAGCAAGAGTTGAGTTTATCTCACTTGACTTGACTTTTTTACACAGTAAGAAAATAATTTGCATCTGAGTTAAAGGAAGGACCTGTGAGAACCGGTAGCGGAAATTTTGAGTGGTTCAGAGAACCGGCAAATCCCACCTCTGACTGGCCCTGCCCCCATCTATTCTCTGCCTCCTGAGTCCCAGCTGATCGGCTGGGTCTTCTTTGGTTGCCCTGCACAGGAGAACGGAGCTGGAAAGCAGGTTAGTGGGGTGGGAGGGAATGGAGATTTTACAGTATCCTTCCCCTGCTACGCCCACCAAGCCAAGCCCACAGAACTGGTAGTAAACATTTTTGAATCCCACCACTGGGATGAGGCACCCAAACAACCTGTCATTTGGTTCTCCTGAGCATTTGGCAAGAAAACATGGGAAGAAAAGTTATTGACAATGATCTGACTCCAAACTATTCAGGACGCCACAATCCCCCAATGTGAGAATTTAGTATCATCACTTTTAATTACTTGTTTTCTCCTTGACTGTTAATTTAGCCCTTGGTGAGTTTCCTAGGCTGACCTACATATTTGTTTAATTGAGTAGTTAAATGAATAGCAGCAGCTTCAACTGACCTCAATATCAGTTAAAAGCTGGCTACTTTTACCCCCTGGGCTGATTGTTAACCACATGGACAGAATTTTTAGAAATTCACCATAGCAGACAAATTGCCCAAATTTTAATTAACCAAACAAAGGAAATGCTTACCCCATTGATGCATATAAAGTTCCCCACACAGGTCCAAACAACCAGTTTGGTGGACGCCAGGATGGTAGTTTCAAGGATCTATACCACATCATTTCCCTCTTGACTATTGGGGCTGTTAAAAAACCCCCTATATTAGGCAAGACTGTGAAGCCAATAGCTGGGATCCAGGATGAAACCACTTCCATTATGGCTCCTGAAATGAAGGCACATAGAAAACTGAATAAAAATGTACGATTTCCCAAAAGCCAGGAAAACAGCACATTAAAGGAAGACTTAGAATCTGTTTTAACAAAAACATCATTGCCTCAAACCTGGGCCAGCAGAATATGCCTAGAGCAGGGGCGTTAAACTCGTGTCGTCACAGCGGTGTCACATGACATATCGTGACTTTTTTCCCCTTTGCTAAACTGGGTGTGGCCAGCACGTGATACATCTGGCCCAGGGGCTACGAGTTTGACAGCCCTGGTCTAGAGACACTCCAATACACAACTTTTGTGTTGCTTCCGAATTGCAGCCTCCCATGTCAACATCACTGTTCATCGGTGGAATCAGTTTGTTCCTGACTCAGCTGGAGTGTATCTTAAACCAGGCGTTGCCAACCGGTGGCCCGCGGGAACCCTCCCTGCGCACTCACCCCTTATCTGGCTAAGTTGCTATTTTTCCTTTTTGTTTCCCCGCCCATCAGCTGTTCTGTTGTGCTGGGAGATTTAGATTAGCTAGAAAGCAGGAAATCGTTGTATTTCTTGCTTTCTAGCTAGTCTTTAGATCTCTCTCTCTCTCCCTCCCTCCGTCCCTCCCTCCCCCCCACCCACCCACCTACCCACCAATGTCAGCAAGCCACCCTCAGTCAAAATTCATATTAGTGGTCCGCAGGATTTAAAATTATGAGTTTGGTGGTCCCTAAGATCCAAAAGGTTGGCAACCCCTATCTTCAACTGTTTCTTTTGGAGATGGTGAAGCTCTGCAAGATTTGTGGGCAGTTTGTTTCCCTAGCTTCCTAGCTCTAGAACTTTCTCAGCAAGATTTAGCCATTGCACCATCTTAGCAAGAGAGTGTCATGATAGCTTGGCAGTTTTCCCCTCATAGCCATTGCTCAGATTCCTTGGGGAATTAAAAAGAATGGATAGGAGTGGGACACTGGGTCCTGATTTACTTTCCAGTTTATCAGCTAAAGGGAGTACTAACTGATTTATCACTGGTCACAATAGAATTGTGCAAAGTTTGGGAGACTAAAACATATGAAGAATGGTTGCAGGAACTGGATATGGCTAGTTTAGAGAAAAGAAGAACCAGAGGTGACATGATAGCAGTATTCCAGTATTTGAGGGGCTGCCACAAAGAAGAGGGGAGTCCACTTATTTTCCAAAGCACCAGAAGGCAAAATGAGAAACCATGGATGGGAAACTAATCAAGGAGAGAAGCAACCTAAAACTGAGGAGAAATTTCCTGACAGTTAGAACAATTAACCAGTGGAACAACTTGCCTCCAGAAGTTGTAAATGCTCCAATGCTGGAAGTTTTTAAGAAGAGGCTGAACAGCCACTTGTCTGGAATGGTATAGGGTCTCCTACTTGGGCCAGTGGTTGGACTAGAAGACCTCCAAGGTCCCTTCCAGTTCTATTCTGACTGAATTTGACAATGATGGAAATCAAACTGCAGGTTCATCTCAAATGGTTTCTGAGGAACTGGGGAATCAAAATGGCAGCAGTGTGGAAGGATGCTAAGTAGAAAGAATGTTGATATTTCCTTGAATTGCATTTTGTTTGACAGAGCCCAGTATTCAAGCCTGTCTAGATCCTTCTAAATTTTAAGCGTATTGTTGACTATTCCTCATAGTTTGGGGCTGTCTTCAAATTTGTTGAGTTCCCCTTCCATCCCTATATCTAATTTTTTTATGAGCATGTTGAAGAGTACTGGGTCTAAGACGGAACCCTGGTGCACATTTCCCTCCATGTAGATATAGTTCCTTTGAAGACAATTCATTGTGTGTGACTGGTCAGCCTGTTATGAATCCATTTGGTGGTGACGCTGTCCATAACATTTCACTGGTCCATTAGTCTCATCGCTTTGTCAAAGAATTCAATAAGGTTTGTCTGGCATGAACTGTTTTTGACAAATCCATGTTGGCCATTTCTCAAGAGTTTTCCAAGCTTTTTCAGTTGTTCTCCCCCTTAAAGATTTCCATTCATGGAGTCCTTCCTAAGTTCTCTATAAATTTGTTGAAATCATCAGCTCTTTTAAAATCTAAGAGACTTGTTTGATTTTATTCTATTACTTGGGCCTGCATTATGTTCAATTGCAATATGGCATCGTCACTCTTCCACAAAGTTCTTCAACCTATCTCTCTTATGCATTAAATTAAGTCTGGTATAGCTGACCTTCTAATTCCATCCTCTGTTTTGGGTGACAAAATTGTCTGCTAGGTTTGTCAGGAACCTGACTGATCTCCCACTTTTTTTAACTGGTTAGCACAAAGTTTATATATTTCCTTTGGTTGGTTGGGTGGCTTGTGGTATTCACCTATAGCAATGTCATTCCTTTTCTTTTATTAACCTGAATGTATTCCATAAGGTTTTTACCATTATAGCTCCCCCCCAATGTCTGTAGAGGTGTAGTTATCTCTTATATATAATGCAACTCCACCTGCTCTTGTTAGGTGTGTTTCATTTGAACGTTTTAAATCCTTCTAGGTGTACTGTACATTCCAGGCATGGAATGTACAGGCATGTTTTATCCTACCAAATTTCCGTAATAGCAAGCATCTGCCTTTATGTACTAGCATTCAAGTTTGCTCTGTTTCTTCCTCATACTCTGAGCATTAGTGTATGGACAACTGAGTCCCTTTTGACTGACCCTGTATTTGCTTTCTACAACTATTTTGTATCTAACTTCCCCTTCTTTCTTAGCATTTAGTGGATTGTCATGAGGTCAGTGTTTTGGATTAGGTCCAAACATTTATCTCCGTTCCCCTCCAGTTGTAGTCTGAAGCTCTTGGGGATAAGCTGAGCCAGTTGATTTCCAAAAGAACAAAACCAAAAACAACCCACATTCTTCCCAGTTCTTGTGAGGTGTAGCCATCCCTTGCCAAAAGACCCTCAGGCAGGTTTTGTAGACTGTAGGAACCCAAAATTATCTTGATGGCACCATCTCCTAAGCCAGTGGTTTACTTAAAAAGCTGTGTTCCCTCATTAATTGCCTACTTTTTGTTGTGAGTACAAATGCTCCCATCTCTATGGCATTCATACCTAGTTGTTCATAGTCTCGTGATATCAGTTTGCATTTGGTACATATATAACTAGTGTTTTCTACAGGTATGAATACGCACATGGCACATATTTTGCAAACCACAAGTGACAAGACAGAAGGGTCCTTTTTCTTCATCCTCATTGCTTTTGTATTACCAACTAAAACAGCTAATCAAGAGTATTTCTCAGCTAATTGCCTTCTGGATACATAATACAGATAAGAGTACATTTTCTAGACCCTGCTAGAGTACTTTACAAGGAGTTTTTGCAGATGACTTTAAGCACTTCCTAAAATACGCAGCAAATGCAGATACACAGCCCATAGGAAACAATTGAATGAGCAACTGAAGGACATTGAGAATGAGTGAGAACAATCAACCAGGGGGACAGTTTTTGCCTTCAGAAGTTATGGTAGCTTCATCTCTGGAAGCTTTCAAGAAGAGACTGGACTGCCATCTGTCAGAAATGGTGTAGGGTCTAGTGCTTGGGCAGGGGGTTAGACTAGATGACTTACAAGGTCCCTTCCAACCTTGTTAATCTAATCTATCTATCTAAGATTCCAGGATGCTTGGGGAGATCTGTGGCAGACCGAAAGGGGACTTCTCCCCACTTCTTTCAGTTGCCCAAACTTTTAAAGTCCTTTTTTGATTGAGAGATTTAAAAAAAAAATCTTGCAAGCAACTTAAGTTCACAGCTTTCACTGCAAGAGTCCAAGATTGGACCACCAGGAGGAAAATAGCTTACCTGGCATCGTTGCCACGCTGTTCCAAGTCACGGCTGGAGGGATGTTTCTCCTATATGCAGTTCAGAAAAATTGGGGTGCGGCTTGGAATGCCCCACGTATATGCAGGGGCTGGCCGCTAGAAGCTACACCCTTGGATTGGGCGGTGCTGCCATTATTACATTCTTTTTAATCAAATCTAATGAAGTGCAATACGTTCTAAATATTCACTAAATATTTGCTGTAATTTATAAGTCATAGATAAAGATCAACTGGCACTCTAACTAAAGTTCAAACATTCCCTCCCATTGTCTAGGCAATACAGTATAGGAACCTCTAATTCTTTATTCCACTTATCTCTTAACCTTTGCACATCAAATTGCTTTGTATCTATAGAAACCTGCATGTTTTTCTTTTTAGTTTTAAAAATAAAACAACTCAGAAGGCCACGTGAATGACTTTGGATCTTCTGCATTGCTACCAGGAAAGATATATGGACATGTTTTCAAGGTTGATTCAAACTGGATGGGAGTCTTTTGCAAAGCTGTGCCCATGAAATCCGGCTAGAGTTTGATAGATTGCCAGGAACTCCCAGAGCTGTAGGCTAGATTAGGAAATTGAACCATATCCTTACAAACAACTGTCAGGAAAACAACATGGTTCAGAGGTTTCTGACCCGTGCTAGAGAACTGGTAGCAGAAATTTTGAGTAACCAGTAAATACCACCTCTGACTGGAGATTTTACAGTATCCTTCTCCTGCCACACCAACCAAGCCATGCTCACAGAACCGATAGTGAAAAAAAATGGAATCTCACCACTGACATGGTTGTATACATAAAGAATCAAGTTTCACTTGATAAGATTTTTTTAGTCAAATTCCATTAACTTGCATTCAATCGTGGTGACTAAATGGATGAATGGTTTTGATCTTGGCTTGTTTTTCGCCAGTCTGCAGCTCTTCCAAGAACATTACAGTGAGTTCTCTGGTTCAACAAATCCACAGACTTCCACTTTCCTCATCTTGCCAAATTTTGGCATTTTTCTAATCTATCACCTGCTTACATGTGTGTCCAAAGAATAAGTTTCTACTTGCTTCAAGAGAGCAGTCAATCTTTCCTTGGTTGCACTTCCAAAGGTTGCATCTTTCATGTCATGAAAGTCAACTGAATGGCTTACATCTACCTCACAGGTTATTTTTATGGGGGAAAAGAGGAAGCAGGAATTTTATACAGATAGTTCTTGACTTAACACAGTTTATTTAGTGACTGTTCAGAGTTACGTCACTGAAAAATGTGACATGACCATTTTTCAGTTACAACCTTTGTAGCATACCCATAATCACGTGATCAAAATTCAGATGCTTGGTAACTGGTTCACACTTATGACCATCCCTGTGTCCCCAAATCATGTGATATCCCATTTTGCAACAAGTGAACAAATCAACTGCAGTGATTCGCTTAACAGCTGTGGCAAGAAAGGTTGTAAAATGGAGCAACATTCACTTAACAAATGTCTCAACAGAACTTTTGGGCTTGCTTGTGGTAGTGAGTCAAGGACTACCTGTATGTTCACCACTTTGAGTTGAAATATGATAACATAAAAATAGTAGCAATAATATAAATCGAAGCCTTCCGCCAATGCTGCGACCATCGCTTTGCTCCTCTCTGCCTCAGTTTACTTGAACAGCTGGTCATACACATGCTGTCTTTTGTGTTATCAAGGCCAATGGAAGAAGTGTGAAGCCCAAAGAGAGACAGGAGAAGGTGCAGAGAATTAATCCCCCTGAAAGGCAGAATTATCCCATCGCTCAACCTCAAGCCAAGTCAAATTTGCTTAGTCTTGAGTTGGCTTTGCCACACGCCAGGGTCCGAGAGAAAGAACTCCAGGGGCAAAAAGTGAAAAGCCAAACAAGGATTAATCAATCAATCATAGTAGAGCTGGGACACCCCATCCCAGGGAATAATTAATCGAGTTCTTCCGCACCTCAGAACAGCCTATTCCTCCCACATCCTCCTGGGGAGTCTATGACAACTCGCCAACTTGCAATGACCAATTCACGACAGGCCAACTCGCTACAACAGAGGTTTCCGACCTTGGCAACTTTATGACTTGTGGACTTCAACTCCCAGAATTCCGAGTTGAAGTCCACAAGTCATAAAGTTGCCAAGGTTGGAGACCCATGCGCCACAGGAGGACACCACACCATGGGCCAACTTGCTGCTGGAGAAGAGTTACACTCATATCGAAGAAATAATCCAATAGAATCATGGAAGAAAGAATAGAACAGAACAGAACAGAATAAAATAGAATAGAATAGAATAGGTTTATTGGCCAAGTGTGATTGGACACACAAGGAATTTGTCTTGGTGTAAATACCAAGGATGCCAAAGGAGAGACTAAATAAATTGTGTGACAAAAATCATTATTTTTTTATTTTAAATAATTAAATAAATTATAATTAATTTAAATTATAAGTAATTTATTTAATTAAATTAAATAATATAAGTTGAATTGTCCCGCAGTGAGTTGTTCTGTGGAGAATTGGCTGTGGAGAACTGTCCCGTCCTCCTGGTGTTCCTCCTCCCTCCCACCATCTCCCCGCAGCAAGACCTTCCTAAAGTCTTCGCCAGAAAGGGGCCAACACTGCGCTTGCGCCTAGAGTGACGTCACGCTTGGAACCTCCGTTGCAGTCAAAGCGGGAAGCTTTTTCATTGTCTTTTTGCGGGCGGTTGTTTTTTTTTTTTAAAAAAGGGGCCTAGTCTGGGAAAGCAAGGGTTGCCGTAGCAACCGCCGGGCCTGTCGCGATGCGCTTGCGCGGGCCTAGCATGGCGGTTCGGCTTGCCGCGGGCCGGTGGCTCCGGCGGGAACCGTTTACTCAGCCGCCCGGAGGCGGAGGGGTTGTCGCGGTGCAGCAACTCTTGGAAAACGCGACCGTGGAGGCGGAGGAGAAGACGCGGAAAGCGCAGCGCGCCGCCCCCGAGGAAACCTCCGTGTTGCTCTTTCCCGGCCAGGGCAGCCAGTTCGTGGGGATGGGTCGCGGGCTGCTCCGCTATCCCAACGTGCGCCAGCTTTTCCGCGTGGCCGAAGCCGTGCTCGGCTACGACCTGTGGAGCCTCTGCCAGGAAGGCCCCAGCGCCCGGCTGCACCGCACCGTGCACAGCCAGCCCGCCGTCTTCGTCTGCTCTTTGGCTGCCGTGGAGAAGCTGCACCATCAGCAGCCCTGGGTGAGGAAGGGTCCCTGGGTAGGGGAAGAGACTCCCAGCCCCCGGAGGCGAGGAGCGAAAAGAAGCCGAAGTTGGGGTTTTTTTTGTGTGTGTGGGGGGGGACCCCGTTCCTGGAGTCTTTCGACCGGCCCCATTGCCTGGGATGGTCTCAGGATACTTGCAACGGGCTGGACTAGAAGATCTCCAAGATCCCTTCCAGTTCTAGGATTTTGAGGCTGTTCCCTCGGCAGAAGACATCCAAGCTGTTTGATAATTATTATTATTTTTTTAAATTTTTAAATGACGTATTGCGGGATTCTGGGAGTGTTCTCCCCAAATCCACCCCTGCGGCGGTTATCACTTAAAAGTAGGGCATCCAAATTATAATTTTTTTGTGGGAGCAAAGATACCATTAAGTCTTTGGCTCTTTAGGTCCTCTTATTATCTCTTTAAAACATGTTCTCGCACATTATGTTCTCACCTAAAACCGGGAGCCTCCCTTGCAAGGGTGTGAAACCGCTTAAGGGTTACTATGGAGTAAACTCTTACTTTTACTGCCTTGGAGTAAACTGGTAAACTGAAGAGGCAGATGAGATGGACAAATTGGATCCGAGCTGTTGGACTGGGGAATAGGATCAACATGGTTAAAAAAAAAAAAGGTTAAAGTCAATAGTGCCATCCAGAGAGCAGCTGTAGTAGTAGTAGTAGTTGGCAAATAAGCCAAGTTAAGTGGTTGAAACCTGAGCAAGTGTTCTCTCTCTGGAAAGCAGACAATAGCAGCTAACCTTAGCTTGAGAAACTTAGCTCATGTTGCTGGAATATATTTATTCTTTAACCATCTTTTTAACGTGCTAAAATATACATATATCAGGATTTTGAAAACTTTTCAAAACTATAGGGCAACCCCCAATTTCTTAAAATTGCAACATAAAAGCTGAGCGTGACTTACAGATGGTTCTTCAGAGACCACTCCGTTTCCACAGCCCTGAGTGAGGAGCGCTTGCGATGGGTCCTTGTAGTTGTAACTGCCACAACGTCCCCAGGATCATGTGATTGTAATTCAGGCAGTTGAAAAACATCTTGCAATTACAGTGCAGTATTCACGGGCACGTGACTAGGATTGCCCATTTGTGGGGAAATATAAACCAGGAAGCTGGCAGGAGATTGGTAATGGTTGTGGGATGGTGCTGTGACTCTGGGAGAGTCACACTTTACAGCTGTTGATTAGTGAAAGTTGCAACTCTAAATTACAATTGTTAAGTGATGGTTATCTGTATATAATAAACAGATTTATATCCATTTGCAGAAGAGCTGTGATTATTGGTTTATCTGGGTTTATTTATTTACCTGCCTGTTTGTAAAATGTATAAATCTGTAATTTTAGAAAAGAAAATACTAGCCCCAGGCACATATTTTACTAGACAGTGCTTAATTGAGACAATATTCAGTCTGAAAATCTCTTGAGTTCGGAGCTGAAAATGGAAATTAGAAAAGTTTACTAAAGACAGTTACAGAAGATGTTTTATCATTTTTACCTATCTCAGACTAATGGAGAGGCAAAGATGCTTCTGGGCAAGATTTAACACTGACATCTTTCATATAAATATTGATTCTCATAATAGGGTTATGCCAAAGATGTTAAAGCATAAAGAAATACCTGAACGTTCTCCTTGTAAGAACATAGCATTCATTCCTTAGTGTCTTAAGACTAGGTAAAAAGTCACCTTGATCGTTTTCAATTTAGAATGTTCTAGAAATTGTACAGTTTAGCTTTCTGAATACACGAGATCCTAGGTGCTTTCTGAGCTTGGTACTTTTCTTGCAGATGTTTCCTTACAAATTACATGATGCCATCAGTGCACTTCTGAACATGTTTTCAAAAGTTGTTTTTTTTTTACAGGTTGTTGAGAGCTGCGTTGCGGCTGCTGGATTCAGCATTGGAGAATATGCTGCTCTTGTTTTTGCGGGAGCCATGGATTATGCAGAAGGTATAAAGCAAGCATCAATATACAGAAATATTTTATTTTAACATTGGGATGCACAATTTTTGTTTAGCTGAAAGCTACACCACCCTGAACAAGATTTTGGCATTGAAATAAATATGTGCCTTAAAGGAATGCAAATTCCTCATGAGGAATAAAAAATTTCATTATAATTCTGAAATATAAAAATATGTAACTAAAATATTTTGATTAGCAAAAATAAAAAGGTGGCAGAATGAGTGAGGTGATAACAATAGTATCCATTGTACCTTAGGCAACAGTATCAAGAGGGTACTGGAACTCCCATATATCTTGCCAGATTACTATGGTTTAATATATCTGTGATATATGTTGATTCACATATTTCTGTTCATTTTACAAATTAGTAAAGTACAACAATCCTGATTTTACTTTTTCCAAGAATTTCAAAATGGAATTTCTTATTTAATAAAGTTAAATAACAAAAGTTACTTATGATTACTTTTGTTGAAATGTGAAACTTATTGCAGAATTCATTTGGATGAAAAAAGCAGATGTAGAAGTGCCTCTTTGAAGCACAGGAATTATAGTTCATAGACGTTACACAGTATATTCATGGAACCTTGCATCCATTTGGTACATTTGAAATATGTTATATATGCATTTATTTTCAGTACAGTGTGCACTTTTGCAAAAAATATTGAATATATATTGTGTTAATATATTGAAAGCACTGATCTTCAAAAGCAGTTCTTGTGAAATTTTAAATTTAAAGGATCAAGTGAAATATTCAGTGCAGATTTCTAATAAAAAGTAACTCAGATTGGCCGTTCTATTAAATTATGGTCTACAGCAGGGGTGTCAAACTCACATCACATTGTCATGTGACATATTGGGACTTTTTTCCTCTTCACTAAACCGGATGTGGGTGTGGTCAGCACATGACACATCCGGCCCAGGAGTTTGATAGCCCTGGTCTATGGTAATCCATGATGTAAGCTTTTAAACATAAAGCTAATCATCTTTTTTTGCTTTATCTTCTCATCACTTGGCTCATCGCTTCACCTCCAAAATTCAGTTACATTTGAAATAAAAATACATTTGTTTCACTGTTCGTTTTGCCCAGTCAGAAGTTATGCCTGCAAAGCCTCCTTTTAATTACTGGTTTTGTTTGTCAAATTCTAAATAATAAGTAGAAAACTATAACTTATGCAAGGGGGCATTATTTCATATCATAATTTCAATTTCCTTTACCATGGTTTGGTTTTCTCAAGTTGCTTCTATGTACATAAGGGTATTCAGGTAACATGTCGGGGCTGCCAATGAAACAGGTTGGGTATCTTTGCTGGGAAAGCCTCAGAACAACTTCCTCAGTACTTTGAAGAGAGATGCTTTGGTTGTGCCAGAATTTCTTGCAAAATATCCTTGAAATGTTTTGCACAGCTGCAACAATTGATAACCAAAGTGAAAGTTGGAGGAAATGTGGTACTGAAAGTAACCCTGAACAAAACATACTTTGTGTCTTAGGGAGTTGGATTAGGTGGTTTTTAAGATTCTTTTAATTCCTTATTTACTTACTATGATTTGGGGAAGGGTTCCCTTTACTTACATTTAACAGTGGAACAGTTTGCTGTCAGAAGGTGTGGGTGCTTCATCAGTGGAGGCTTTTAAGAAGAGACTGGACAGTCACTTGTTGAAATGGTATAGAGTCTCCTGCTTGAGCAGGGGGTTGGACTAGAAGACCTCCAAGGTCCCTTCCAACTCTACTCTGGTTGATTATTGATTTTCCTTTAATTATATTTAATGTCCTTGGATCTTTCTTCCAAAAGATGCATTGTAGTCCTGTTTTCCAACCAGCATGACGTGGAGCCCTCCAACTAATGAAACCTGTGTTTGCATATCCCAAAGATACTTTTCCCCCCAAAAAGGCAGCTGTACTTTCTTGTCCGCCCCCCACTTGAAAACATGTTCTGAACTGAAGAAGCTTTTTGGATGAGAAACAAAATGTTTTTAAAAAAAAAAAAAAAAAAAAAAACAAGAATTTACAGGTGCCTTTTGGAAAAAACACTTTGGGACAACCATGACCTGGATGATAGAAAATCTACATAGACACTGGGCTTGCATACTTTGTGGCTCACTTCGAGGTGATTTGCCAAAGTATGTCTATGAATCTGCAATGCACAGTACAAAAAGTTGTATCTGTTTCAAATACAACTTTGGCTCATGTGGAACACTGTAAACTCTACTGAGCCTTAGCAGAACTTTACAGATGTTACAATATAGACAACTGTAATCCCATATCTTCTGTATTCTATGGTAGCCAAATGCAACATGAAAAGGATTCCCCAGAGGTTTTAAAGTTGGTAATTTCCAGCGCTTTTCTTTATAAGACCCCACTACATTGTTATCAATATGTTTTCTTAACTATCATATAAAGATGCAATTTTAAAAACTATTTTAATTTCAATTTTGAAAACTACCCATTTTAAATACCCTATTCTATATGACAGATAGTGTTGTTTCATACTGATGCTGTAAAAAGCATCACTGTTTAAATTCACAATATATTACATAACCATTACATAACTATGAATACAATATAGAAGAAATGCATAAGATTATATCATTTGCTTTTCTCTCCCAATGACCACAGTAGTGTGGGTCCTTGTAGTTGTGACTGAGTAAACGTGTTTTAGGTTTTCTACTGCTACAGCCATTTTTGCTCTGTAGCAACAATCTCAAGCTTGGGTAAGCCTCTATAGATATTTTTTCATTTCTGTAGCCCTGTATGCTGTCAAGACACGGGCTGAAGCCATGCAAGAGGCGTCCGAAATCATACCAAGTGGAATGCTCTCCGTTATTGGCCGAAGAGATTCAGATTATAAAACTGCTTGTTTGGAAGCTCTTGAATACTGCAAGACAGAAGGCATAGAAGATCCTGTATGTGAAGTTTCAAACTACTTGTTTCCAGACAGCAGGGTCATTGCAGGACACATACAGGTATTATGAAACAAACAATTGTAGTTGACGTTGTAAAGAAAACTCTGAGAACAAGTCATCTTCCCCAGCCTGAGATACTCTAGTTGCATTAATTATTAATTGCAATAATAATAATTACTGCAATGTAAACACTAATATAAAATATATACAGGTAGTCCTCATCTTACGACAGTATACTTAGCGGCACTGAAAAAAGTGACTTAGGACCATCACATCATCCCCATGTCATGTGATTTACATTTGGATGCTTGGCAAGTGGTTTATATTTACGAAGGTTGCAGTGTCCCAGGGTCATGTGATCCCCTTTTGTGACCTTCTGACAAGCAAAGTCCATGGGGAAGCCAGATTCACTTAACAGCCGGGTTATTTATTTAACAACTGCAGTGATCCACTTAACAAGTGTGGCAAAAAAAGTCATGAAATGGGGCAAAACTCAACACATTTCTCACTGAGTAACATAAATTTTGGGCTCAGTTGTGCTTGTAAGTTGAGGACTATCTGCATATTATAGTTTATAAATATTTTAATATACTTACATATTATATAAATATGAATCATAATTATTACAATAAGTAATTACAATAATTGATTAGTTGCATTAATTAAAAGCTCTGATTGCATGCCAAAACAATTAGACACAAAATATTTTCCCCCCTCATGCCATCACTCTGCTGAGCACCAAATTCCCACAGCACTGTGTTATGTTTAAGGATATTTACTCATGTAGTAGGGCTGTATTACTGTTATTCTTTTCATCTTTCGTATTACTTTCTACTGTTGGTATCTCATATTACTTGGAATGCACATTGAAAGCTTATGCACCGGAGACAAATTCCTTGTGTGTCCAATCAGTGGCCAGTAAAGAATATTGTATATTGTAAATGAGTTGGACTGTAATGCACTGTCCTGCTGGCAGGCTGGATGGATTTGTTAATTGGGGAGACCTAGCATCGCAGACACAAGTGCTGGGCTGACTTCATCATTTTGGAAAAACCAGTTGTCTTTACATTTGAAATACTTCCCCTCTCCTCAATATATTTAGCATGCTAATGATTTAAAAAGAAACATAAAGTAATGACAGTAGCTAAATATGACATAGCTCATATTTGACAGGATGTTTATAGGGAAGCCTCCTTTTTTCGACAAAATCTAACTTTAAATTAAGTCAGGAATATTTATTTTAAAGGGTTTAGTTTTGCCCCAGACATCATACAAAATCATTCCGTGGTGCTTGGTACTTAGAAAGATTGATGGTCCCTTAAACAACAATGAAGAGCTATGGGCAGTTCTTGGATTACAACCACTCATTCAACAACTGTTCAGAGTTACTGTGGCACTGTGCAAGAGGGACTTAGCACCAGGCCACAAAGTTACTGCTGTTGCAGCATCCCCACAGTCGCACAATCCTTATTTGGGACTTGGCAATTCGCTCACAATTACAATGTCCCAGCGTCCTGCAGTCATACGATTGATATTTGTGACCTTCCCTGTCAATTTCCCAGAAGCAAAGTCAATGGGGAAGCCAGCAGGAGGTTGCAAGTCATTCCCACCTCTGTGGCACTTGTGCATTCTCCTATGCACCATTTCCCAACAGCAATAGCACTTATATACTGCTTCATAGTGCTTTACAGCCCTCTGTAAGAGGTTTTACAAAGTCAGCCTATTGCCCCCAACAATCTGGGTCCTCATTTTACCCACCTCAGAAGAATGGAAGGCTGAGTCAACCTTGAGCCTGGTGAGATTTGAACTGCCAAACTACAGGCAGCCTGCGTCACCACAGCTCCTGTTCAACTGATCAACATTCCATAGTTCCTACCGGTGGTACTCACTCCACCTGCCTGCAGCGCTACCCTGCTTGCCTGCTGCCTCTTCCCATGACATGGTTATGTGAGGTCCTCAGTTAACAGCTTGTGTGGTCCCTGGGTTTCATTGACAGTCAGGATTGTTAGGATTGCCAGCAATAGGAGATGCAGTCTCATGACATCATGCATCACAAAGTATCCAGACTACATTTAAACCTATTTTAATGCAATGCTGGGAATTACTTGCATTCTCAGCCAGAACTAATTGTAAACAGTTCCCCCAGATAAGAGCACACCGTTCAGTGCTGTAGAAAAAACAGAAGTCCAATTATAATATAAACCAACCAAAGTTCACAGAGCTTCAAGAAGGACTCGGAAACTATTGAACCACTTTGCTTCCTGCATAGCGTTTGTCATTGAGGTCTGACTTTTATCCCTTATGGGAGGGGCAATCACCTCCCAGCCTTATTCCTGAGTCTCCCCTTCTGCTTCAGCTGCTCTCATCTTCCAGCAGCTCTGCGCTCACGTGCACTGGGAACAGGCTCCCCTGGGTCCTCCGCTTCACTGCTGCCAGACTCCGAAGGCAGCACCCCACTCCCAGATGGTCCTGGCCCCATCCCTGCATCGGACGCAGGACCCTCGTCCGAGTCCTCTCCAGACTCTCTGCCTGGTCTCCTTTCTTCCTCCATTGCCGTCTGTACCGGCTGCCGGCAAACCACAAACAGAAACATCTGTTTTTGTTGTTTTTCTTGGATCACATTTCATCAGTGTGCAGCTATTCAAAATTCTTTAAAATGTGTGAAGTATACTAAAGCAGTTCTAGACGAGTGAAATAATTCTTTTTTCTTTTTTAATCGTAGGCTTTGGAATTTCTACAGAAAAATTCAAAGAAATTCTCATTTGCACGTGTAAAAATGCTACCTGTGAGTGGTGCTTTTCATACGCGACTAATGAAATCAGCAATGCAACCTTTATCCGAAGCTCTTGAATCAGTCAGCATCCAAGAACCCCTCATCTCTGTCTATTCAAATGTGGATAGCAAGAAATACAGGCAGCCAGAACAGATTCAGCATTGTTTAGTGGAACAATTGGTTTCGCCAGTGAAATGGGAGCAAATAATGCACACAATCTATGAAAGGAATAAAGGAAAAAAGTTTCCTTATACATATGAAGTGGGACCTGGAAAACAGTTAGGTGCAATTCTAAGAAGTTGCAATTTAAAGGCCTCAAAATATTACAGTAACATTGAGGTTTCTGAAGGTGAAACAAATGAAGAAACGTAGAGATCCTTGCAAGAAATGGAAGATAATTTGCTGCCTGCATAACTTCTTTGCACAGGTTTATTGTCATGTCTGGAGCAAAAGTATTCTCCACTGTATTTCTGAGCCTTTCATCAAATTAACGCATTCAAGTGCCTTGCAGGTATTTGATATGTACCTATTTAACAGGCCTAATCCCCCTCACCTAGTTGTCCTAGTGGCACAAGTGAAGAGTAAAAACTACATATGCAGTCTGCCTGACTTGATGGAGCCTTTTCTTCCACCCGAATACAATGTAAGCTTATATGACAACACCAATATGTAGAGCTAGTCTGGTTGCACTCCTTTGCCAATCCAGAATCAGTTTCACAAGGTTGTCTGTAATGTGGCTCCCTGACCTGTATATTTCATGAGGATAATGAGGTGTTCTGGCATTCCCATTTTTCTGAGCATATTCCTCAGATTGACACACTAAAAAGACCTATAATCAATGAAGCACATAATGATTTCTTTGGAGTATTCTTTAGCTTATCAGCTTTCCAGGGTACATCAGCAACAATGTTCTTAAGTTCTTTCTAAAGCCAGCTTGAATGAAACTATCATAATTGTTCATTGGTTGGATATTTTCCTTGCTGTTAGTATGCTTATATTTTTATGATGATTTGAATAACATGGAAACCTATTTGATCAGAAGCCCTACGAGAACAGAATAAATGCTCTTGTGTGCATATCAGGGCCATTATCTTTAATGAGGTCAGGCAGTAAATAATCCAGTTGTCCAGATTATTGTGTCACTGAAATACTTTATGTCAGGCTGAGGAAAATGCAGCCAAGAGAAAGCAATTTATAAGTGGAAGTGTCTGATTATATCAAAAGGGCACACCTATCAATAAATGTGTTATTCTTCACACGTTTGTGTATTTGATCATTGTTTATATATATGGTATGGCAGCCACTTGTACTTTCTGAATGAAGCCCAGTTAAACATAGTTTTTATGTGCTGTATTTGCCTTGTTCTGGAGTCATAATTTTGAATTATTTGTGGAATTTATACCTGTGTCATGGAAGCAAGCATTTCTTCTTGAATTGATGCAGCATTGATCTCTCTGCCTATAACAACAACAAAATCATACTCCTAGTTGAAAACACAGCTCAAGGATGAAAATTTCCTTTCTGCAATATTGCCTAGAAAGACAGCCAATACATCTAAAGAATTATAAATGGAACATTAGTTTTATTTTTCAGTTGGTAAGATTACAAATTGCTTTAGATATTTTATACTTCAAATATAATGTAAAAGGATGCCCAGCATTCCTTCTATCATCTTTTTAATACATAAAATCTCTCCATGAAGTAGACATCTAATAAATGTATAAAAGGCAGATATGAATTAACCCTACAGGCATATATTAAAACAGGACATTCAGGTAGTTACCCAGCAACAAACCCATATTAATTATGTTTTTAAAAATACAAAAAGCAGCAGTGACCCAGCACTACCCTATGCTTTATTAAATAGAAAAAGAAGAGCTTTTGATAGGCAACTTTAAAAAATGCAAACAAAATCAATGCCACCTCCAGGGTGAGTTGCAATTCGGTCAATGTCCAGCAGTGACCATCAATGGGAATTCAGGGTCAGTTCTGCAGCTCATGCAGCCACCAGGTGAAAGCTGCCATCAGGAGGGCCGGCCCCCATTTCTGGAATGCACAATTCAGGGGAATCCAAACAAGCTAGTTGTGGGGAGAATAAAGAATTTGATTAAGAATTGTTAAAAGATACAAACGAAAGGGGAATGATAATCAGTACAGCATATTCAATGAGTTTTAGTGGAAGAGCATGTTGGAAGAAAAATTTAAATTTTTAATGAGTATACAAGAGTAGGACAGTTCTTGCCTCAGGTCACAAAGCCTTCTAAATAGGTCTAGCTTTTAGAACAATGGTGTGTAAAACTTTAATTTGGCTTTTAGGAATTTATACCTCCAACTATTATTACTAGACAACCTGTGACACCTTGGGTCTCCATTTCAAAGGTATTTCCTACCAGATGTCTCAATATATCAACAATGGCAGAATTTCTAATGTATTTCAAAAGTTCTTTAAAATTCAGGGAGCCTTCAACTTAAAACCTTTCATTTAGTGACTGTTCAAAGTTACAACGGCACTGAAAAAAGTGACTTATGGCCATTTTCCACACTTACGATCCTTACAGCACCTCCATGGTCACATGATTTATAATTTGGATGCTTGACCACTGATTCATATTTATGACGGTTGCAATGTCCCGAGATCATAGGATCACCTTTTGCAGCCATTTGACAAAGTCAGTGGGGAAACCAGATTCATTTAATGACCATGTTATTAATTTAACTGCTGCAGTGATTCAGTTAACAAATACGGCAAGAAAAGTCGCAAAATGGGGCAAAACTCACTTAACAAATTTCTCACTTAGCAATATAAATGTTGGGCTTAATTGTGGTTGTAAGTCGAGGATTACCTGTATTCAAAAGATGTATCTGCCTTGAACGTCAAACATCAGATGACCACAGGTAATGTTTTAAGATATGCCATAAATGCTTTACGATAATTTTATGTCACAAATACTTCATAAAATTTGCCAAATTTCAATTCCATGGGAGTCATAGGTCCCAGATTTTGGGTACATTCTGTAAGTTAGCCCATTTGAAGTACCCTGGTCCAAAATACTTTGTCCTAGGATGCACCGTTTCACCCATTTAAAAGTTACAGGCTTTTTAGTAATGTATAGGTTATCCAATTTATTATCTTATCTACCACCAGCTGGAAGGCAGTGTGTTATCACTCAGAATATGGGAGGGTTTTGCACCTTCATCAAGAGCTATCTATGTCTTTCCACACCAAGCAATGAGGAACAGAATAGAAACAATTGCATTATAAGAAATAAAAACTCTTCTGCTAATTTAGTTGCCTCACTGTTTAACAGTAAAATTATGACTGCAATAATAAAAGTAAATGAAATTTACCCAGACATAGTCAATTAACTTCTTTCTCCAGCTCTTGTCCAAAGAATTCCCAACCGTTTTCATGACATTTTTGCCCCAAAACCGAGTCTGGAAAACACAGGCCACCATTCTATTTAAAAGGAAACAAAACAATTATTAAAATATAATGGTTCTTATAAGCAGTAAGCAAACAATAAATAGGTTTTACTAAAACAAACATCTGGCGTGATAGCAAGGTCCTTTGCAAGTGTGTTCACGTGTGTAAAATGGAGCAGATTCTTGATCATTCCAATTGAGCCTACCAAGTTGATGTAGTTGACCCCACCAATCTCTTCTACAGATACCTTCAAATAGTAATAAAAAGTGGGCAGGTTTCTACTCTCCAACTGACTTAAGAAGTAGATTCCCAGTTTCCTAACAGTCAAGATTTATTAAGGTTTTCAAACCTGGACATTTCAAAGCCCAAATTGACATTCTCAACCAATCAAACACCCATCATCTGGAGTAGTGCTCTATGCTATTATATATACAGTATTAAATTCAGTATTCTCAACTAATGGAATCCTGTCAAGGCCAGGGGGAAGAAGATTATTCCAAATGCACCAATCCATTTTTGTTACAGAAAGACACTGCACTTTTCATTTTTATTAAGTTATGAAACTGGCATATCCGGGCCTAATTTGGATGCCTCCATTACATTAACTGACTGATGTATTTTGGGAAACAGGACAAAAGCTAGTATTTGGAAAAGAGACTACTAAAAAACATCTATGTTGTACGCTGGATTGGGAAATAAATAGTTCTGGAAGAAGATAGTGGCAAATACATCTACATTTCTGCATGGCTATCCCTATACATTTAGCAGGAGTCAATGTCCATTTCATTCTGTAGGTAGAGGTAGTTCTCAACATACAACCATTCATTTAGTGACCAAAGTTACAGCTGCACTGAAAAAAGTGACTTATGACCCCTTTTCTCACTTATAATTATTGTGATATCAAGACTTTTTGGAAACATGCAATCTTTAGTTGAAATGTTTTTTTAAGAAAAGTTTGATGAGATGATAACAGCCATTGAAAATATTCAGAAGCATTCAGCTTTGGATAAATTAGATTCACAAAAGGAATCAGGTTTGAAAGTTGCAGTCCAAAGAGATAGAGCTGACTGCATACGTCTCTTTGAAGTTTGAGCCTGCATTCTTTCACAATACCAGAAGGCTGTCTGAATGGAGAAGTGACAAATCGTTTTTTCCTAAGAGGACTGAGGGAGATTGGAGAATGGATTTGTTACACTTAACTGGAAACCACTTCTATTTGGACCTTGTTGGGAAGATAGACTGACTATGGAGAGTGGATTTATTATACTTAATTAGATAACAATTGATAAGCGATGCCATTAAGAAACAAACATGTGTATTTGATTAAGGACAAATGACTCTTAATTCTTGGGATGATTTGGGATAGATAAGATGCTGTATTAAATTTTCTGAGTTGATAACAATAACAGTTTGTTAAAGGGTTTTGAAACTAATCTTATTTTTTTTATTATAATCATTTTTCCTGTTAACTATTTTGTCATTAATATAGTGTATAGAAGACAGGACAATAATTTGCAAATAGATTTACCAGTTTAAAAATTAGGGGGACGGGGGGCAACCAATATTGTAGTAATGTATTAATCACTATTCAAGTAGACAGGAAAATATGTATACATGTGTTGGTTTTCTGTTCTTTCCGATGAACTTTTTTAATGCCTTGATGGTTTGTGGGGTTTTTTTTGTTTTAATTTTTTAGAGTTTTGTATTTTAACTTTCTTTTGAATAAAATAAAAATAGATTTTTTTAAGAAAGGAACTAAGCATAGGCCCCTTTTTTCAATCTTGCACTCTTTTTTTGTTATTTGTGCCAAAGTATTTCAGGTTTTTGATACCGAGATGTATTACAGCCCAAAATACACGATTAAAAACAAAATACCAAAATTAAAATCTTCAGAGAAGATGAGGCAAAAATGGTAATATTTGCTCTCTTAGTTTATCATGATATTGTTAATTATGATTTATCCCAGTTGCTCTATTTTTTATTAAAATTTTACTAGGTGTCAGCACATTACATATGTGTAATAGGATGTAAATAGTCTCTCAATTAGATATCCTACTTTTCACAGAATAATACAGACATGCATTTGTGGCATCATGGTCAAGATGTGTCAAGATTCAGCATTATTATCCAGAACTTTAAACTATGTGGGGGGGGCCAGGCTAAGGTGAGTAAACAATTCTTCCTTTATCTTACTGAAACCACTGCTTCCATGTGAGATAATCAACTAAGTATATGATAAATCAATAAATTTTTAAGTGTCAAGGTCTCTGTTGTTTGTAATTGCAAGATTGTTTTAAAGTTAAGTTAAGATATCATTCAGAAATAATTTCCCAATCATATTTTAGTTGTTTTTCTAAATATACAATCATTAGAATATGGAAAATTACCCTTTAGCAAGTTGAAATAATGGATCTTCCAGTTTTCCACTGTATCTCCTGTTACACTCATCTCCAATTATTGCAAGCTGGTGACCAACTTGGATTATAGATCTAAAAAAAATGAATATATAAAGGTCAAATGGCCCAAAACCAATCTGAGACAATGTATGATGGTGTTTGGATATTTCCTGCTGAGGTGATCCAAGGATCAGTCTGCAGACCTGTCAAGCTGCAGTGGTGTGTTTAATTTTAAATTCTATTACAATCATCAACTAAAGATCTAATAGCATAATCAATGGAATTGGTTGCCTCTGTCGTGTTTTCTCTATCACTGGAGGTTTTCAAACAGACTGGACAAGTATTTTCTTGGAATGGTGTTAGGCTCCTGCCTTAAGCAGGTGTTGGACTACAATGCTTCTGAGGTACCTTCCAGCATTATGATTCTATGTTAACACAGAAACAATGAGCAGCAAACACAGGAGCTGTTTCTGTGCTGCGGCTGCCCACGATAATACAATAATTCCTGCTACTCACCCTGCTGCTACCAGCCAGCTGACATAGGTGCCTAGAAACTAGGCAGAGGTGGTATTCAGCAGGTTCTGACCAGTTCTGGAGAACTGGTAGCGGAAATGTTGAGTAGTTCAGAGAACTGGCAAATACCACCTCTGACT